CACTTTATACAATGGATCCTGATTGGGACCTCTGGGCATTACTATAGTACAAGCATTTACACAACAGACAATGACCTTACTGAAACAAAATCAGCAGAATGTGTTGAAGGGAGACACTTGATATACTCATATAAATTAAACGTCAGAATACGTTATCTGTGACTGCACTTTGCAGCTCAGCATGGCTTTCATGTGGAAGATATAATGCTGTAATTGATAGCTCTACAAATGTTTGCTGAATGCCCTAATTACCCTCACATCATGTACAGAGACACTTAATTCCTGACTTACAGAATGGACCATATAAGGGAGACCTTTTATTCCTTAGCTCAGTGTTTCCCAAACTTGGGACTCCGCTTGCTCAGGGAAAGCCCATGGCGGGCAGGGCTAGTTTATTTACCTGCCACGTCTGCAGGTTCGGCGGACTGCGGCTCCCACTGGCCACGGTTTGCCACTCCAGGCCAATGAGGGCTGCAGGAAGTGGCAGCTGGTACGTCCCTTGGCCCACACCGCTTCCCGCAGCCCCCATTGGCCTGCGGCAGTGAACCGTGGCCAGAGGGAGCCGCGATTGGCCGAACCTGCAGACGCGGCAGGTGAACAAACCGGTCCGGCCTGCCCGGGGCTTTCCCCTGAACAAGAGGTGTCCCAAGTTTGGGAAACACGGCCTTAGTTCATCATGGAGACCTTAACAGTCTACATTTTACTTTTATTACAGTAAATAACCATAGTGTCTGTTTTAGCTCAGCATTCTGTGATGAATGGCTATATTCACCATTTTGTTACTATGGCAATATTACATGTGAAGTACACCAACAAGCTGATGCTGTCAACTCTCTTTGTACTTACAGTATACTCCTTTTTCTTATTTTGAGGGTGACCAACTATAAAGGGGACTGTGAATTTTTCTGAGACTCAAGAAAAGGGGTTATTTTCTAATTTTTTTTTTATTAACTGTAGCAGGTAAACTGAATGGTTGTGTGTGACAAATAACTGCCAGCAACCGTAAAACAGGAACTGGCAAACCATACTCTCTTGCCCGTCAGAAGAGATTCAGCTTATCTATACTTCAAAAAAAAAAAGAAAGAAAGAGCAAAACTGAAGCCCCCTGCAAGGGTGGGAGCAAAGAAACATTCACACACCTGCATACCCATAGCTTCCTTCGCAACAACCTAAACATTAGTTTTTGGAACATTTTTGATGGATAGGCACCAAAAATTGGCATTCAGTCCCACACATTTAAATGATGGTGAAAGTAGGCAGGCGCACTATTAGTAACAATAGCCTTTCTGTTCCCATTAAACACAAACTCAAAATAATTCAGGGCAAAAAAGCTGAATGTAGGTCAAACTCTTAGGGAATCCCAGGACAAGTATATTCAACTCAACTGGATGTAAGACAGCAGAAAGATTTATAGCAAAACCTTGCAGACTGTTCTGTTTAATTGCTATATTAATTAGTTACTGGTAGAGTTACTAGGTCTGTCGTACTTCTACCTGTAATATTTCTCTTTCTGATTGGTGATTCCTAGGTGGGGAAACGTAGATTCATTTAGGGTCAGAGCAGGGGACAGGGAGTCAAGAGAATTGGATTCGCTTTTTGTCTCTGCCACTGACATACCGTGTGACCTTGGATGAGTCACTTATACTATTTTTCTTAGCGCTAAAATGAGGATAATACTTCCCTCACTTGCAGGGAAGTTTGTGAGGCTTAATTCTGTAAAAGATGTAAAATGTTTTCATATCCCCATATGAAAAGCTCTATAGAAGTGCTAAGTAATATTACAAGGTAAACATTTAACTCTTGGCAATACTGCAGGTTAATTGCTTTATTATCAGTTATTTATTTAGGAAAATGGAACTGGTTTGGGGCATTACATGCTACAACTTGATGAAGCAATAAATACTTTATAAAGCATTCTTCATCCTCAGTGTGACTTCCAAAGCACTGAGCAATCATGTCTTCGTTTCTCTCTTTAGCAGATTCCTCGTACAGTTTCTATTCGGATTTTTTAGGGCACTGAATTTCACTCTATTATTTGTGTTTTGGTAACTGCTATATTATTATTGTTATATCGTTTCTGGGTGGATTTTCACACAATAGTGTCTAGTAGTGCATTTCTGATTTTTGGACAGTTATTCAAATGAAATGGTTTTTTGGTTGTGTTCTGGGAAAGACTTTCTTTCTTTCAAGGGCCAGGCCGTGTGCAGTCTTGCCTAACGGTCAGGGCGGGAGACTGACCTAATGTTGGAGCAGGTGACCAGGCCTAGTGGCCAGAGCCCCAGTCAGGAGCTGAGTTACCAAGTCCAGCAAGCAAGCCGGAGCCAAGAGCCATGGTCAGACGCCAAATACCATCCAGTCTTTGTTCTTGGGGGTCGGGGCTGGTTGCCCCTGCCGCTCCCTGTGGTTGACCGACTCGACCACCAACGAGTTGGGTGCCGGGTGGGTATACTGATACTCATGTCCCTTTGTGGGTACAAAGTACTTGCGCTCCGCCTTTTTAGAGATGGGAACCAAGGAGGCTGGTGTTCACCACAGGGCATTTGAAATTCTTGCCACCCCTTCATGGAGCGGCAAGGCCACCCTGCCCTGTGCTGAAGGGGACAGCACATTGAACAGGGAGTCTGAGGGCTCTTCCATCTCCTCAGCCTGGAGGTGGGGGCTCGCTGCCACCTTTTTTTTAGGAGGTCTTGGTGGGCCCGGTAGTCCTCCTGCAGGATGGAGGGGGGTGGGGCTGCAATCAACTCCTCTGGACTGGGCAAGACCGGTGCAGTTCTTTGGGTTTTGTCTGGCACCTGAGGATCCATCACCTGGTAGGACTCCGGGCACGGTACCGAGGACACAGGTCCCACCGACCTTTTTTCTGGCGGTCTAAAGATGGACGCCGACGGTGCTTCCAAGGCCCTGGCCACCAAGCGAGCCCCCACCAGCGCTGCGCCGGAGGCCTCGGTGCCCACTGGCACCACTGGGCCAGCCACGACACTTGGTGCCATTGTGCTTGCTGAGGCACCATTGGAGCCGGCTGTTTGGGCTGCCTAGCTTGGCCTGTAGACAGGCGGCTGTGAGCGGAGGCCAGGCTGGCGTATGATCTGCTGCTGCCTCTGGACTGGGAGTATCGGCGGTGCCGGGATCTATGTTGGCCACGGGATCACAATCTCGACGTGGAGGAGCGGCACCGATGGTAGTAGCTGCTCCACAAATGGCCTTGACGGGCAGACCCGCATCGGCGAGACACCAGCGGTCGACGCCCAGGGCTACGGCGCCTTTGCAGAGACTTGGAACAGGAGTCCGAGCGGGAATGGTGTCAACGACTGTGCCGCGACTGACTGTGGTATCTCCTGCGAGACGAGGACAGTTGGCGACGTCCGCCACGGACCCATTGATATTTTCTTCGCGAAGACGAGCGGTGCCGGGAGTTCTGGTCGGACAGCACCCATCCAGACAGTCTGGCCGGCGTCGAGGGCAATCCACATGGACTGAGCCCTGAATGGTCGCTGGGTAGTGAACGGTGTTGGGAACGTTCCCTCAATCGGTACCGGGCCAGGGGCGACTGCAGTGATCCCAGCAGCAGCTTGCCTCTGGAACATGAGGCCGACATCAGCGGAGCTTCAGGCATTGGCATGGATATAATGTCCCTGGCTGCCTGGAGGGCTTCGGGTGTAGATGGCATCTGGACAGGCCTGCTCCGAAGGGGCTGGGCTACTCTGCTCAACGTGAGTTGGAGGCCTAGGGCCCAATGGGAATCAAGGACTACCTGACATGGGCCTAGCCTCTGTCCCAGACTTCCCTCGGTGCCATTGCGAAGAGAAAGTCTTTCCGGTCCTCTTGGCGTGCCCCGTGGATGGAGAGCGGTGCCGACTGGACAATTGTACCAGCGGGTCTCCGCGTACCGATGCCAGATACCGGTTTGGAGCAGCCAACTCCATCAGGACGGCCCGGAGCCTAATGTCCCTTTCTTTTTCAGTCCGGGGCTCGAAAGACTTGCAGATCTTGCACCTGTCACTGATATGGGTTCCTCCCATGCAGCGCAGACAATCCACGTGCGGGTCACTCCTTGGCATACAGTGCCTACAAGAGCCGCATGACTTAAAGCCTGAGGTGCAGGGCATGCCCCGGCCCAGGCTCAATGACTAACTAAACTAACTGAATTAGCTAACTGACTACAGGTACTACTGGGGTCGAGCTGCCTCAAAGTTGGAGCTGAGCAGTTTGGACGTATCTTCACTGGCGGCAAGAAGGAACTGAGGATGGGGGGAGCACAGCCCCCCTTATACCGCGCCAGGCAGGTGCCGCTCCAGGGGTCGCAGTGGAGGGGGGCGCTCCCCCCTACAAGTACTACTAGGGGAAAAACTTCCGGCACCGGTGCACGTGCCAAGCACGCACACCTATTGTGGAATACACATGAGCAATGACTCGAAGAAGAATGTCCAGTAAAGGCCTGCCTGAGACAACTAAACTAGCTTTCTTTTGAGGTCTTCAGAATTTGAACTTACTAGAAAGGCTCTGTCCTGAAAATTAACTCCCTCTGCCACACAGACCCAAACAATAGTCTGTATTTAATGGCAAGCACATATTTATATTAGTTGCCTTTACATTTATAGTAGAATTCCTTCTTGTTGAGAAAGGAAAGGGAAATCTGGTTAATAGGCACTCTTCCATATAATACACAAAATTAATTTAACAGCAGATAGCAATTAGTCAATAGCTTACTCCTTCCCTGTTTGTTTGTTTGGTAAGTTTCATTTGAACTGAACTTTGGGGAGGTGGGGAAGAAGGGGAGAAATGTGGTCCTTAACAGGAAACACACAAGAAATGGCAATACCACGTCACAATAGAAAAGAGGATTTCGTCAGCGGAGCTTCTGCTAAAACACTTAGGTCTCCGTTACTGCACGCCTTCTGCATGTTTTGAGTAAATAAAGATAATTCTCCCAGAATGCAAATAATTCTCACATTTTAAAGAAGTATTTCACTCACAACTTCGACATCATTTAAAATGATTACCTGATTCCTGCCATGTGACGGCTGATAAATATTCAGAAGAGGAGGAAACGTACTTTTCTTATAAAGCTGTAAGCTGGTTGCCATGTCCTATTACAGTTTCACTACCAGTCTGTTATGAAACAGAAGGTAAACAAAACAGTATAAATAAAGGACAATATTACTACATCTAATTACCTTAGCCAAATTTCAAAGCCAACATTAAACATATTTATAAAGTTTTATATTACAAACTGACATCTTATTACTTAAATCATACATAAAATCTTTTTATTGGGAAATTACTTAGCAAGTAGAATACAAGTCAACTGCCATAGTAAATTATGTTGTCTTTAAAGTAACTACTAGGTAAATGAACACTCTCTAAAGCATTACTTTTCCAGACAAGGATTTTTTTTGGGGGGGGGGGGGGACAAGACATTTCCAATTCTGAAAAACTGATTCCTGGACTTACTACTATCTTTATGGGAGATATACAGACCTTGTGCCATTGCTCCTGTACCTTGGCTCCCATGAAAAGCCATTAATATTACCCACCCTCCACCAGCTAGCATAGATTTACATAGAGTTATGAAATCTTTAGACCACTTCCAATTTTCTCTTTACTGAAATAATAGCCAATTTTCTCCATGATTTTAAAAGGAGAAGCTGCATAGCCTTCCTTTTCAATATAGGGCCATGATGGACAGTAGAAAATATAGCTCATTAGGGATCAAACTCTGGAGAGTGGTGGGGAGTAGCAGTCCTGCTGCTTTTGATCCTTTCCTCTCAGATACCTCACAAACCCCTCCATCTGGTAGGAACTTTACTGCTCAAAGCAGAAGGAAGAAGGGAAGCAGCCACATTCCACAGTGTGCCTTCCTTCTCCTCAAGTCCATGAAAATTGCTGAATAGCTATCCATCTGGAACTTAATTTGGGTCTTACTCCTCCTCCAATGGTGCGTGCATGCTCTACGGGTAGGATTTACAAAGGTACTTAGGTGTATACATCCCATTTTTTGGCACCAGTGTGATTCACAAACTTCCTGCTCGGCTACCGCCTAACACTGTAAGCACATAAACTCTCTCAGCACCTAAGTTTTTCCTTTAGGCATGTGCACTGCAGCAGCTAGATGCCCACCTCCTGCCTGAGCGCACACACAATGCTGCCTCATAATTGGCATCTGGACATCGATCTCCTGCCTGTGCCCCCGGGCGATTCACAATCCCTTGGACAAATTCACACAAAATCACTGGGGCAGGGAAGGGATGGTGGGGGGGAAGGGATTAGGAAGACAACCTCCTTTATAATCTTTAACCTAGTGCATAAGGTAGTCATCCAAGATGTAGGAAACCCCCATTCAAGTCCCCACCTCAGCCTGATGGGGAGAAAGGATTTGAGCAGGATCTGCCTTTGCTCAGGGATGCATCCTACTCACCAGGCTATAGAGTGGTTCTAACTCCCTCTCTCTGGCCCAATTAATATTTACATATTCCATTGTTTAATTCAAGTGAAGCCACGTCAACAGCAGAGATTAAGAGACCCCTCCTCCCATCAGAATAGCCCATAACCTTGTGGTTAGAGTCCTGACCTGAGAGTTGGCTGATCCCCTTTGCCTCATGAGGAGGATGTGGGACTTGAAGCAGGGGTCCCCCTGCCTGATGAGTACCCTATTCACTAGGCAAAAGGTTATAATGGAGGTGGTCCTCCTGTGATTTCTTTCATGCAGTTTAGGCAGCCAAGTGCCCATCTTCCCCAATTTGTGGATCACTAGTCAAGGTACAAGGTGCCTCCATGGAGCCTGGACTTTGGCACCTATCTCTGCCCAAGAATTGGCACTTAACACATACCCCTTTTACCAGTGTCTCCCTTTGGTTAGATTAGGCGGCTAGCATGCTGGCTTCGCAGATCACCATTCTGTGGTGCCTATTTCTCCACTTTCATTGCATAGGAAGCCTAAGGGTGCCTAATTCAGTCTTTGTGGATTGCAGCATTGTTCCTGTGATTTTCTAGCCACCAAGGTGCTCAGTGTTGCCCTTCATGGATCTCACCCTAAACTTCTGCTTGGATACTCCTGCCCCATCTGTAAGTTTGGATGAAACCTACTCCTAATTGTGTGGGAGAGAGGGAGGAAACCCCACCCATTCCACTTCAAAAGTACAATTTGCAGGAAACCTCATCAATGGTAACTCAAGGCTCTCACAGGGAGGCAGCGCGAGCTTCCCTTCACTCTCCCAACTGAGTCCAGATTGTAGAAATGTATTTATTTAGAACAAAGAAAAGCTCTATGGGTGATTCAAGTTTAAAGGAAAATTGTAAGGGAGGGGAGGAGGAGAGGGATGTGAGTGTAGTTTTCAGTTAAGCTGGAACATGGTGAAGACTAGTTTATAAAAACGCTAACAGCTGCTGTGCTGTACCCCGGAGCTTGCTGCATTTCAGTGGTGCAAGAAGTAATCCCACCCTATGGGTTGTGCGGTTAGATGCTTTGGGAATCTTTGAGATGAATGGCGGCACAGAAATGCAGAATCCTGGTTTCTGAAAGGCAGAATAAGTCAAACGTTGTTTGACTAGCTTTTAAAATGAAGTGCAGCCTCATTCATGTGCAACACATGAAATTCCCCCCGAGTGACCGTTTCGGGAACACCTGGGTGCTGTCTTTAAGGAAAGGCCGTGAATCAAGTGGGAACAGGTCAGACACCCCCAGGGCGATCTCCTGCTTCTTTCAAACCCGCCCGCTTAGCGCCACTATGTCGCCTGCGCGGCAAGAAGCCTATTCATGGGGGTTGGAGGCAGGGGCGCGGTGTCAGACCCCCGAAGAGCAGAAACAGCTTCCCTGAGAAATATTCGTGCCCTGGCCGCGCCCCAGCTTGGGAGACTTGGCCACAGAGGCGCCTTGCCCCCCCCCCCTTCTCCGGGGCTGGTCACAGGAGCCCGCGCACGTGTGGCAGGGAGCCCCACTCCCGCGGGGCTCGGCCTCCCCAGCGCGGTTCTTCCGCGGCGGGGCTCGCGCTAGCCCCCGCCCCGCCCCGCCGGGGGCGGCACTTACCGCTTGCGAGGTGGCCGCGGGCGCAGTGAGAGGAGCCGCTGCCGAGTCCGGCCAGCCACCGCAGCGTCCTCGCAGCGCCCCTGGCTCTGCCCAGCCCCCGCGCCCCGGGAGGAGCGGTAGCCGCCGGGCACCCTCCGGAGCGCGGCCCTGCGGCAGGCCAGGGGAAGAAACCCGGGGCAGTCCCGGGCAATGGGCGGCAGCAGCCACGCGAGCGGTGCCGCCGGGTTCCGCCCTGCACCGTGCAGCCGTCAGCAAGAAGCAACATAGGGCACAGCACGAGGGGTGTGGGCTGCGCGCTTTTTCTGCTTTGGGGACGCGGGTTGTTGCTGCTGCTCGTGAGCTGGGCACCCCGTTGGAAAAGCAAACATGCAGACTGGCGGTAATGAGTGAAATGAAGAAATCAGGGTGGGGAGGGGGGTCACATTTCCTGCAAACAGCCCATGCCGTGACATCGTTAAATCAACAAAATATGAGGCATTGGACGAATGACCATTGATCTTTCACGGGTCTGGACTACCGCTTAAGGACCTACTGGGTCAGGTCAGAGCAAGGGTCCATCCAGCCAGGGGTGTGTACAAGGGGGGACAGGCAGGGGCACAGAGCTCCTCTGGCCCCAGGGGAGGGAGAGAGCGAGCTCTTCCGGCCCTCTCTCTCTCCAGCAGCCAGGGGAGCTGAGCTCCCCTTGTGGCCAAGGGAGCTGTTCCCCCCCCCCCTCTTTTGCTATAATGAACCCGTGGCTATAATGGCCAAATGCCTTGGATCCCCAGGGCTTTGTTATAGTGAGGATGTACTGTACTGCCTCATAACATCATGTATTTAACGTGCCTCTCCAAAAGCAGTCAAATGTAAATGCCTGCGCAGGCCCCTGTGCATCCAGCCCAGTATCTTGTCTTCTGACAGTGGCAGGTGCCAGATAACTCAGAGGGCGTGAACAGAACAGGATCCATCCCGTTTTCCAGTCTCCAGCTTCTGGCAGTCAGAGGTTAGGGACACCTGGAGCCTGTGGTTGCATCCCTGACCATCTTAGCTAATACTTACAGTATTCACATTGCCGTTGTTGACATGGAGCAGCGATGTGACTCATTTTGTTGACAGTGTTCTTGTTGCTATCTTTCTCAATCAACTGGTTTATGATCTTTGAATAGGTATGTGCTATTTTGCAACTTACCATTCTTTTACTTAGGAAACTCAATAGTGCAAACATTTACTCACTTGCATATGATATATTTTTGCAAGATTGTGGTTAAAGGCCCAAATCCTGCAAGCCCTTGTGCACTTATCAGTGGAACTACACAACAGGAGTAAAATTAGTTACCTGCAGGTTTGCAGGACAAGGGCTGGGGATTGCAAAAAACAAAACAAAACCCCGAAAACAATAAAACAATTACATGTTCTGTTGATACTATTAATTAAAAGTGGGGTGGGTAGTTTCTTGTATTAATTATTATTAAGGAATTCAGTTACAGTGCTCCGTTGCCTTGAAAGTTGGTTATTTTATGAAAATCATTACTCATATTCAACTTATATGTAATATTTACAGTTAAATTTAAAAAATTGAAGGCAATTTGGTCCAAATTTCTTCCAAATTACACTTTTCAATTCAGAAAATGCTCTTTCATTCAACACAGGAAAAGCCATATGCTGAAAAACTGTGTTGGACCCATCTGAAGGTGTATTACTTAACTTCTCAGTAACAAATTTGGGGGTATAATTCAGCTGAAGTTGAAAATATTTAAAAGTTGAAATGTCATAAGTGTTTAACATATTCTTTTCTGTACCTATTTAAAAAAATACTGTAAAATGTCTTTGGGGGTAGCTGTCGCTTCTGAAGTTCATTTAGCACATAGACTCACATGGTTGCAACAAAAGTCTCACTATCGTTGCATGGCTATAAAGGCTACCCCTGTATGATGAAGCAAACCTTGGTTCATCATGGTGGCCAGTTCCAAGAAGTTTACATAGGGTTGGTGCGGCAATCTGCACAACAGGATGCTGATGGCAAGACTGACTGTACCATTGCAACTGTTATGCCAGTGCTTGCTATCTGTTCTGGTGCAGCATTGACTGGAGGCTGACATGATGGGTAGACTTGCATACAGCAAATGCAATCCTAATCGATGCACGCTTTATGCTAATTGTGTGCATAGATGTTATAGGGATGCTGCTAAGGAGTTCATATAAGGGTTAGCACTCCTTATGGAGATACGATCTTTGACATCTGCAACAAATTGTGGAGTCCAGCATTTTCTGCAGAACTGTCTTCTCTATTGGCTTTGCAGCACAATTAAAGAATCCTGACAAGATATAATAAGAAACACTGAGCAGTGTTAAGGACAATCACTGACACTCCAAAAGTGGCTAAGTTGGGTCTAATTAACAATATTTCACTATCCATAAGTAACCAGCAAAAAAAATAAAACTTTGTTTGTCCCCTTTCCTCTGTTTATTTAAAGAGTGCCTAAAATATTTTTGATTTTCTGCATTAGAAATTCAGTTCTTATCAGCCCTGGAAGATACTGTCATTACTGGAAAACTCATGCAATTATGACATCACAAAAGCCAACAGACTGAAAATAGATCAGTCAACTCTGTGACTTTACTTTGATTCTGCTGATCCTTTGTGTAATTCCAATAACTAATGAACATTTAGGAGAAAGGAAGTTTTTGTATATAAACAGATCTTCCTTCTCTCCTTCCCCCCTTCAACCAGGTGCAATAACTCACAATACACATGCTCTAAGATCACTGCCCCCAGAGGTCCTCCTGCAAAACACAAACTTGATGTTTCTGGTATTTCCAGAGTTTAAAAAAAAACACCACCAACTTTTAAAAGCTCACACAACCTTTCAGGCCTTCATTATACATCATAAAGAAGCAATAAATAAATAAATTAAATAAAAGCCCAACTTTTTATAAACATTTTCCAAGAAACCTTTAACAGCCCTATTAGTTAAAAAGTGATTCTTAGTACACAAATGAAGTTCTAGAAAGCCTGCTTTTATATCATTGCTTGACTCCCCTCTACCTCCAATCTTACATGGTGTTAAAGAGACAATTATTTCCAAGGTTCTGATCACATTAGGATTTATAATCACGTTCAGAATGTGTTTGTTTTTTGAATATGTCTCTTGGCTTGGGTAGTTTCATAAGTATTGTTTTATGATGTTTATTTTGTATGCTGCAAAAGCAACAACATTAGACTTACAAAAAGGCATTATGGCATGGATTTGTAATAGCCACATTACTCACAAGTGGTGAGCTGTCAAGGCTAGAAACAAGCATCATATACCACTAGGAAAGGGAGAGTCACAGCTCTCCAATGAGATAAGTCATTTTTACCTTCATGGCTCGTGAAATTAGATTCATTCAGTTCACATATTCAACTACGACTAGTGCTCGGCCTGTATACTTTTTTATGGGCTGGGTGTAATATGGAGAGGGGGGGAAAAATCTACATTTGTGGAAAAATTCTCCCCCGCTGTGGGTTGCTTGAAAGCTATTTACTGGTTTGGAATGTTAAACATAGGCCTGGTGGAGATGGATTAGTGAGCAGAGTGCAGATAAGGCTTAAATAGGTTCTGCATGTAACATATGTTATTGATTACAAATCTTAAAAGGTTAACACAAAAATTACATAGTCTTTCCTGCTCAGGTGAAATCCTGGTTCCATTGAAGTCGATGATAAAACTCCCATTGACCACATTGGAGCCAGGATTTCACCCATTATATATATATATATATATAATTTTACTATATACTATAGAAAACAACACTAAGACAACATTAAGGTTGCAAACTCAAGCATTCAAAGAGTAGAATATGCCAGAATTAAGGTTGCCTGTGCAATCTTGGCCCCTTTGTGCATATGTGTTATGATACAGTCTTTAATTACATGACCACATACTGGTGTTTTTTTCCCCACAGGGCATTCCTGTTCCATTTAGTGCAGAGGATAGACAGTGTTCACTTAATGAGCAGCTAGCTATTCAGTATTTGTTTTATACTCCTTGTTCAGTGTGTGGCCCTAGGCCTTATTTACTGCACATTATTCAAACTCCGCTCTGAAGACAGAATTATCAAATTTCATAATGTACTTTTCTCTGGTGCTCATCACTGTAGTAGCCAAGTGCTTCACAAATATTAATTCAATTTAATCCCTCATCGCAACACTACTGTGAGAAGATATTATCCCCATTTTATAGATGGGGAGCTGAGGCACAGAGATTACAGTCAAAAGTTTCTACTAATTTTGAGCGTCCAATTAGAGATGCCTAGAACCTGATTTTTCAGAGTATCTAGCATTTTATAGCACTTAATATGCAGAGCTCCCACTGACTTCACTTGCAGGTGAGTGCTGAGCACGTCTACAAATCAGACTCCAGGGTATCAAGCTGAACACCCCAGAAAGTTATGAATAAACAATTAGTGACCATCTCTGGAAAGTTTAGCTTAAGTGACTTGTCCAGCATCACAGAGGAATTCTGTGGCATAGGCAGGGATAGATTCCAGTTCTCCAGGGCAGCATTCTACTGCTTTAGCCAGGACACCATCCTTTTTCTTCCTGACATCTCCTGCTTCATTCACCACTCACCTTCCCACTTCTGCAACAAATGAGGCAAGGATCCTACAGATAAGAGTTTTTTACATTACACACCCCTGATTCATCCCCAGAGGAGGTCCATTCTGTGCACTGAATGAGTCAGGGGTCTTGTGGAAGAAAAAAATGGTATGTAATCATGTAATTAAACTATCATAGTGCAGACAACAGTGGAAAAAAATTAAGGTTGTGGGGGAAACCATAATTCTGGCATTTCCCAACTTTTTAGTGCTTCACTTCGCAATTTTAATAATTTTAATGTAGTTTGTAGGTGTAATTTCCTAGGTTTTTTAAAAAACAAACTGAGTAAACAGAAATCCCATGTTGTGGCATCATATTGACACCCACATGGATCATCAGCAAAAGTTGGAACCTTTAGATCCACCACACAGACCTCTACCACTTGAACTAACAAAGTAACTGATAGCAGTAGTAGGTTGTCATCTTCTGAGCAGAACAGCTCTAGGGGGACGAGACACATTTTGTCATTGAGTTTCACGTGTATTTGCTGACAACAGCAGAATGGGTAGATTCGGGAATTTGGAGTTCTATACTAGGCTCTGGTGGGGACAATGCTCCAATGGGCAAAGATTCTTATTCATTCTCCCCTGCCCCAGCTTGATTTCTTTCTTTCCCTGTCCCCTCCAGCCCTGTCTCTTCCCCACCTCTTGCTCTTTGTTCCAGGCAAGACCAGTCACAGTCTCCATTCCTCAGGCTTCTGATCACAGTCTCTTTGCCCAGAAAATCCAAGCTTCCCTTTCTGGGCTTACTGTTCAAATCCCAATTT